AATTGCCAGCATTGGATGGAGGCACGGGCCAACAGCTCGAGGATGACGACATTGAGCGTCAAATAAAAACATCAATTATCGATGCCAGCAAAGTACATGCGGCCAAGTCGAAAATTGTGCTGCCGCTGCAGCTGCAGCTGGACGATGAGCTGGCGGACTTTGCGCACGAGCCGGTGTCGCTGATAGTGGAGGAGGAGGACGATATGGAGGAGCAGTATCTGGAGCTGGAAAACTTTCCCAACAATGAGATTATTGTGTTGAGCGATAGCGAGCTCAATTCATCGCTCGCCTCGGACAACATATCCGAGGATCCGCTGGCAATAGATGACTTCACGCAACCATTGCTGCGCGAGGATGACAACGAGGTGGAGCTGGAGGTAGAGGAGGAAGCGGAGACCAGCGGTAATTTGCTGTGGCTCAAGCTGGACACGCCAGCGCCAGTCAGCAATGTGGACAACATCAGCAGCAGCAGCGGCCTTGTCGTCGGAACTCTGCCCAGCTGCAGCAGCAATGGAACAACGGCTGTAATCCAGCCAACCACAAAGACCAAAGAAGAGGAGCTGCGCAGCGACGGTGGCTCCGATTCGGGACTGGGCAGCGAGAACGATCGACACAACACAACAATAGCCGCAACAACAGCAACAGCAACATCAGTAAACGGCTCCCAAAAGCCGCTGCGCTCGAATCTGAAGCGGCGACTGGACGACGTTGCCATGGAGCTGGCCTTGGTGCCGGACATGAACAGCAGCAGCAGTAGCAGCAACTGCTGTTCGAGTACACAGAAGCGCTCGAAGCGTTGCATCAATTTTGATAGCGTTAAGGTCTACTATTTTCCCCGGCAGCAGGGCTTCAGCTGTGTGCCCACAGCCGGCGGCTGTACTCTGGGCATGGGCGCACGGCACATTGCTTTCAAGACGATGACACTGGCGGAGCACGCGGCGGAGCTTAGGCGTGCTCATCGTAGCCAGAATCAGGAGCAACAGCAGCAGCTGCAAACGCGCGGCTCTAGCAGCGATGACAGCGAGGAGTCCGAGGAGGATTATCTGAGCGAGGGCAGCAGCTCCGATGCGGACGATGGCTCCAACGGATTCCTGCAGCCGGTGACGCCCAAGCAACGACGGGCGCTGCTCAAAGCGGCCGGAGTGCGAAAGATTGACGCCAGCGAGAAGATCGACTGCAAGGATATACGCAATTCGCGCGAGGTGTGCGGCTGTTCGTGTCGCGAATTCTGTGACCCGGAGACGTGCGCCTGCAGCCAGGCGGGCATCAAGTGCCAAGTGGATCGAGCGATGTTCCCGTGCGGCTGTACGCGCGAGGCCTGCGGCAACACCGTGGGACGTGTCGAGTTCAATCCTACCCGCGTGCGCACCCACTATATACACACCGTCATGCGGCTGGACATGGAGCAGCGTCAGAGCCAGGGCCCACCGACGTCCGCTGGCAATAGCGGCCTAACTGTCTATGGTAGCAGCAGCAGCAGCGCCTCCGGCAGCAGCAGCAGTGCTGGTGTCGTTTCACCCGCTGCTGCTGCTGCCGCCGCCGCCTCGCACTGCTATTTCATGCAGCCGCAGTCCAACTACAGCTCCGGCTATGCCTCGCCAGCTTACACGCCTGAGTCGAGCTACTACCAGACGCAGCAGCAGACGCCGGGTCAGTCGACAGCCTCGCCTGGAGCCACAGTCAATGGCAGCAGCAGCAGTGGCGCGGCGCATCAGTCGAGCTATGCTGCCGGCTATCCGCAGCTGGACAGCCTTGATGCGAGCCTCTTTACGAGCGGCAGCAATGCCACGCCCTCGTATGGTGAGCTGATAACGCCCACCTATCATCCGACCGTCAGCTATGGCAGCACACAGGTGAGTGCGAAGATGATTCACTGAGGGACGGACTTATAACAGATTCATTTGCTTGCAGCTCAACTCCTACAATGCCTATCAACAGACGACGACCTTGTCGGGCGGCATTGTTTCGCCCGGCGCGTACAGCTCGTGCGCGGTGCCGTCTGTGCCGCCCTTCGGTAATGCCACCACCACCGCCTCGAATGCCACGCAATATCAGCACGCGAATGTGCTGGAAACCACCGCCGCTGCCACCATGAGCACCAGCAGCAGCCTAGCCATCACGGCCAGCAGCTGTGCCACGGGCCTGGGCCGGCTCACGAGCAGCGTTCCGGTGGACTTTATCAATTTGAATGCGCCCATTAACAGCTCATCACGCATCTCGCAGATCAATGATCTATTGCAGCACAATCGTAATACCACCGCCGCTTTGGTCGCTGTCTCCGAAGGCTATACCACTGTGCGCAGCAACAGCAGCAGCAGCAGCAGCAACAACAACAACAACAACAACAACAACAACAACAGTGGCAACAGCCGGGGTAACAGCAACACCACCACCAACTCCAACAGCACCATTAGCACCGACATCGATTCAATTGATACGCCGCCCATTGTGGAGGAGGCTTCGCAGCGCAGCTGTATGACATTCGAGGAGTTGCCACCGCCGTTGATTAATCCCACGCCCATCGTTGCAGTTGTGGAGCAACAGCCGCAGCAGCCGCACAAGCAGTTGATCGCTGTGCCCACAACGCCGCAGCCGCGCCAACCGCTGGAATCCAGCATCGGGATCGAGTCCTGCAACAGCAATTGAAACAGGATTTTCTCAAAAACTGTGGATAGTTTTTATAGCAATTTTACACAGCAGAAGACTTAATTATATTTAAGTGGCAGCGTCTAAATCAAAATGCGTGTTTAGGATCTATCAACATAATGTTTGTTTCGGGCCACCATCGTCCCAACGTGCCGCCCGCCTTCCTTCGTCTCTGACGTAACCAAAACTTCAGCTGGCAGCTGGAAATCATCCGTTATGCATGATATGCATAATGTCCGGCTCGCCTTGTATAAAATCAGTTTTAATTGTTACAACTCTAATTAGTCTTAAGTAAAAATTGTAATTTAGTCACTTCGTTGCTTAGGTTTGGAAAGTATGTATTTTTTTCTCTCTCTTCGCCTTACCCCAACAACAAATAACAATTAATATATATGTAGATATATATAAATATATTTTGTATTCCGCTCGAGCAGAAAATCACTTGCAACCACTTCCTTCCGTATGTCTAGCGTTGTTTCAACGAATTTAATCCAGCTGGGCCTTGAACAATTCAATGTATCCAATAAAAGTGATTTGCTTTTAATCAATTTAGCTTTCAATTTAATTGTCTTTGAACTAACTTATTGCTTTGCATTTACATTTGAAAACTAAATTCGTAAATTAATTTTCAATCTCTGTAAAATGTTTGTTTTTTTTTTTTCTTTAATTCTTCTGTTCATAAGTATTCCCTTAGCTTTTAAGTTCCCGATTTGACCTTAGCTGATTAGCCTTAATGAACCAACGGCAACAACAACAACAACAAACACACATTAGACATGAATTAGTAATATTTATGTATATGCAGCAAAACAAAAAGAAACTTCAATAGAAAAGCAGAAAGTAAAACAAGAAAGAAAAGAAAACTTTAAAATGAACCTAAATAAAAAGTAAAAAGTAATTGCAATTATTTAAATAAAATATTGAATACAAAAATATATGATATGATTTGTACATTTCTTTAATACGTGACCTGAAACCGGGCAGGTTTTCTGAATTTCGAAGTGGGCGTGGCAAACTGTTATAACATCTTGATTATGACCTTATCTATAAACCAGTCAATCTGGAAGCCTATAAGGGCTACAGACTTGAAACTTGAAATGAAAAAGCTATAATGCGGCCTTTCACTGAAACTGGTTTATTATTATTATTTTATTTTTTTATGAAAATTATGCAGACTTCAATAACTTTAAAAACTTTTTAGATTTGTAGACAAAAATATGAGAAAAAAATATTTTATTTTATTTATAACTTCATAAAAGTCATATATATTGAACATTAAATTAAGAGTTACATGTGTAGTAAAGGCTTTTCTTATCAAATATTATTTCTCTAGGTATTTTGGGATTTAAAAAAAAGCCTAAAACATATTTTAAAATTCAGTAGAGTTCGGCTTGGCCAGTAATATTATACTGCATAATATATATGATTCTCATGAATTCAACTCAAGATGATTTCTTTTCATTATCATTTATGATTATAATATAATTTGATATGCTATCTTAAACTATTAATTTCTCTTGGTTCTGATACCTTATCTGATTGTAGACCCCTCAAGTTTTTTGATCGCCTAGAGATGTGTATATAAAAATGCATAAATAGTTGTATTTTTTTTTTCACATTATAGTAATATTTATTTAGTTATCATATTTATCTATGCATTTAATATATTGTTGAATTAAGTTGAGCCTGGATCTTCAGCGTCAATCAACTTTTGAGAATAAAAGTTTGATAGAATTAAAAAAAAAACAAAACTATAACTATATATGTAT